ATTAAAGTCTCAAATTCACAAATATATGGAATGGAAAACGTGATTTGCTTCAGCAAGAAAAGCCATCCAAAATTGTGATCAAATTCACCAAAAAGGAGGTGTTCTACATCTACAAATGTAATGGATCTCCAGCCAAGAAATCTTCATACGAAATTATACTACGTAATGTTATAGCAACGGGATTTTTTGCGATTCTAAGGGAGTACGGTACAATCTTTCTCAAGAATATCATATGAATTTTTCCTAATTCGATCTGTCGTTACGTGTTCGTCGCAAAAGATATGTGTTAGAGGAATTATCAAGAGAATTGGTCTAGGTATGTTAAGGTTATCCCTTCTTTCTTTTTGGCATGATCTATACGATACAAACGAAACGAGCAAATGCACAACTTCCATAAATGACTCTACTCATAGAAATACTAGAGATGCATATATTCTTAATTCCCCATGTGTGCTATTATTCTATCATCTGTTCATGGGTCTCAGAAAATACGTAAGTTGATAAAGTTTATTTCATGATATTAATCAATGACATAATGGTCTTATGATATTCCGAGAAATTTTATTGATATACTTCTCATGCATTGCATTCATTTACATTGACCCATGACCAGATGGCATTATATACGCGTATATATGTATATTATATGTATATGGGATATGGGAAAAGGTTACGGCGTTATATACGCATCACCACCTGATCATCTGGTATACGTTAATGATTTGCCTACAGTGGCCTAGATGATATGATGTGATACCTTCAGAAGCTTGATGATGTTATGAACGCATATACCTAAGCATGGTATGACATTTATACGCATATGCATGACATTGTAAATATTAATGAATCACTAGCTATTCAGACTTATATGTTGAGTCTTTTACTCCATGTTTCTCTCATGTCTATTATTTATTGATATTCATTCCTTATATACTCGGTACATTATTTGTACTGATATCCCTTTTGCCTGGGGACGCTGCATTTCATGCCCGCAGGTCCCGATAGACAGGTTGTGAGTTCTCCAAGTAAGCTATCAGCTCAGCGGAAGGTGTTGGTGCACTCCATTTGCTCCAGAGTTGCTTGTTTGGTCAGTATGATTTAGACGTGTGTTATTTAGTTTGGTGGGGCTCTGTCCCGACCTTTATGATAATTATGTATTCTTAAAGGCTTGTAAACAGATGTCAAGTAAAAGATTGTATGGCCTTGTCGGCCTATGTTCAGTGTACGAGTGGTTATTTTGGTCTTATAGGCGAGTATGTCTTATGTATAAGTTGGTATTACATGTTGTATTCTACTTATCTCACAACAGCCTATCTGGCTCGGTTATCTATGATAGTATAATACGAAAAGATACGTTATGTTAGTACTCGGTTGAGTAAGGTATCGGGTGCCCATCGCAGCCCATCGGTTTGGGCTGTGACACTTTTTACTTGGACTGTGATGTTTATAACCTAATGAACCTGGTCCTTGATAATTTGTGACTTTAAAAATGGAAAGTATTCTAACATTGTGTTGATGTTGAGCTGAGTTGAAACATGTATTATGCTTATGAAAAGCACAGAGTTTGTCATCATCAAAAGGGGGAATTTGTTGGCCTAAGTGAAGTTTGTTTTGATGATTGACAATGAAACTCAAGTATGAACCAGGTCCATACACAGTGTACACAAAATAGGGGCAGAATTCGGGCACAAGGCATACACGTAAAAGAGATAGGCTTAAGTGGTTATATCTGATATTTACTGAACGAAAAGGTTACATAATTGATAAGGAGAAGGACTCCTTACTCGAGAGAACTCTATCCTAGATAAGGGAGGAGTTAGAAGTTGAAGATAACTAGAACTCTTCCACCAAGGAAGAGTATAGCATTAGAACTCTAGCTAGTTATTTCCTACTCTACTAACTCTATAAATTACAGGATGTTCTCATTTTACAGGTACGCATAAACGCTGAAGTTAAACATGAGTTGAGAGCAAAATAGCAAGGCATTTTGCAAGTAATTCCTGTGTGATTCAAGTGTGCAAACCAGAAGCTACATAAACCAAATAGAAGACCCAGTTCCAAGTGTTTGTCTTTTATTCTAGTTTCATTATAGTAGGGCTTTTGAGTTGTACCTTATAGCTTTATCTAGAAGCAATTGTATTAGGTACTTTGAATGTTGTATTCAAGTTAGTGTTAACTTAAAGTTGTCGCAACAACTAGAGGCTGGTTGCCACAAAAGGGTTAGAAGTAATCCTTAGGTTTACAAAGAATTTGTAAATGTTGTTTTTGGCTAAGTGATTTAGTGAAGTGTTGGAAAAAATCCTATTGGGTAGTAGGTTGTGGTTTTTTCACCTTTTGAGCCAGGTATTTTTCACGTAAAAATACTCATGTTCTTTACTTTTCGCATTTATTATTTCGCTACAGTAGTATAAGGAACACATAGAAGAACCAGATTCTTTTATAATTTGTGCACGCAAAAAATGAACACCGCACAAAATACCCCTATGTGTGGTATTGAAGTACAAAACATGATTTTAACAAACAAATGCTTTTGATCGTATAATCTCTGAATTTGTACTTTCAAACGCAAGCAACATAGTTCAGATGCGACAGTATGTACGGAAAATAGTTGTTGGAGTACAAATTTTTGGTTATTAAAAGAAATTAGAACAAGTGATTAATAAAGGTACAATCAACTAACCTGATTATTAAAAAACAGATAAATGTATATCAGTATATGGTCAATTCTTAAATCATTCACGGCTCTATGGAATTTAAGAAGCCGATACTGAACTCATTTTTGTCGAAGCCATGGCTAGTCTGTGAAGAGGAGAATAGAAACTGATCTCCTGACATTTTTATTCCTTCATTTGTTCTTTTTATTCTTTTCCTTCTACTTTCGGCTCAATTCATCTTATAGTCTATTTGGCCAAATTTTTATTTTCCAAAAATATTTTTTAATATTTTTTTTTAAATTTTAAGTTAATGTGTTTGACTAAACTTTTAGAAAGAAAAAATATATTTGAAGTAAAACAAAAAAAATAGTTTCTCCCCAGAATTATATTTTTTAAAAATACTTTGGAGAAGATGAAGTATGGGCCAAATTGACCCAATTCTCTAACCTGCACCTCTTATAATTTATTTTTTGTTTATTGCTTGACATTCAGTGCAATTAATCGATATTTTAAAATTTTAATTTGTCCTTGTTAACATTACTCTCGACCTGATATGCATGTCGTGTGCAACAGTTTTTTCTCACCTGATAACATTAATTTATAGGATTAATCCTACTATGAAGAATGCATGTCGTGTGACGTGTGCAACAGTTTTTTCTCAGCCACAACCCCCCAAATATGCTCAATTCATGATCTTCTTATCTTTTATTGGTATGTAATCCACTTATTCTACAAACAACTTTTTTGACCGAACAATATTTGTCTGTGATCTTTTTCTTAAATTTTATTTTGGCGCCGAATGGGTTAAAGGGAGAATAGTGGTCCAATATATGGGTGCAAGCAGCCCTTGTGTTTTATATTAGTGTCAACTAACATAAGAACCAATTGACATATATATATATATATATATNCATGCTAGCCTAGGAGTTGTTGTACGATAAGTCGTTACCCTTCTAAATAAGGGTATTTTTGCCTTTTATACTTATGTACTGCTTTATAAATACAATGACAATCCCAAACATTATTATGAGACATTATTATATATATTATGGTATCGGGATCAGGCCATCCCAATTATTATTATCGATGTTGAGCCCCCATTTATGTTGTCCACGTTTTAGTTTGCAAGCTTGGGTGTGAGGGAAGGAGGGGGGGGGGGGGGAGGGGTATTGAGTTTTCTCACGTCGGTGAGGTTTGTGGTCCTTGGTCTCTTTATATGATCTTGAGCAATCCTCACTTCATAAGTTAGTTTTTGGTATTGAGTTATAAGAAAACAAATCTCTGTTAAATTTTTAATTAAGAAATAAAACCAAAGTACAAGATATATGAAAAGTACGGTTCACATATATGGGTTTAGCTCCTCCTAATAAATTCTATTGGATATGAGCCTTACATCATTTTTAAAAAAAGTGGATATGGAAGTTGACTTGATTTTCTTTTTAATTTTCTGTTGTTGTCTTTTTTGTACGTGAAGCGTTAAAAAAAGGATCTTAAATTATATTGGAGTAAATTCTTAAAGGAAATAGTAAGAAATATTTTATGCACATTTATAAAGTACCTTATGGTACTTTCAACATTCCATTTTGAAGAAGATGAATTTTTCGTCTTAGAATTATAAGAGAAAATGAGCGACTTCTCACTAGATAACCGATCAGGAAACCAAACCCAAATCCCATCAAAGCCTCCTGACATAAACACAAACCTAGTTTCACCAACATCATCCTACAAAGATAAGCTACTGGAAAATGAAATCTTTACTACAAATACACACTCATCTGAAGAGACTTCAACAATTCCAATGGAGGTTCAATCATCGGAGCCAGGTGCAACGTTAGCAGGGAAATTCACAAAAAATTTGAGAAAAATAATATTAACGGATGTCGACAGCCGACAGGCAGCCACTACAAGAAAAGGCTCAATTTATTGGGGTTTTCTGGTCGATTTGAGGCCGTTCTTGACCCCCACAAAATAATTGTGGCAGTTTCAGAAAACGCCATAGTTATGTTCGCCATAAGCATATTTGTGGCAATTTTTCAAAACCGCCCCGACGACTGCCACAAAATAAAATTTTAATTTGTGGAGGTTTTCAAAGAAAATCAGCGGCAGTTTATAGTCCCAACAATATAATCCCAATGTGTTAAAAATATATTTTGTGGGAATTATAAACCTCCACAATATGATCTTAATCTTTAAAAAAAACTAATATGCAGCAGTTATAAACACTGCCACAATTTTTTAAGGTGGAAATATTATCTTTTTTTATGAAAATTTCAGTTCTAGGATTCAATAAATTATTTTATTAAATAACTCACATAATATAAATCAAATTCCATAAAGAAAAGTATCAATAATAACAAACATCACATATTCAAATTTAAACTATATATGGTAACTTAAACATAATACAATCTAGAGTAGTTCCATAATAAAAAAAAAATATACAAAAGTGCTAAGTATTTGCTAAGTGATTCGAATTGTTGTCATCTGGTGATACTCTTACATCCACAGTGAAGTAGGCTCACTCTTAGCATCACTATGCTGAAACATTGCAATAAAAATACTTCAGAAAACGCTTATAAACAACTAGAATTTTTCTAAAAGGATAAATGAAAAACTCTAGTGACATGAAAAAGACAAAAGCTTCAAATTAAATCTCTTACACATAAATGTCCGGTACTTGGTTTAACACAAACATTCCACTGAATTTGTTAGATATTCACTTGAATAAGAGCTAAAGTACAAAGTAATTACCGCACATCTCATCACAAGCTACTCTATCTGGCAGCATAAATTCTACCGATATATTCATGATAATTACTAATTATCAAAATACAAGTTACCTCTATAGGATTCTAACATTAGGACATAATCAAATCTTTAAGGCATGGATTCCCCTAGTATATGTATCAGTAACAACTGCGAAAGAGTATGTTACAAATTACTCTATATTACTTAACATTATCTGGGGGAAAGACAGGAAAGGATTGAAAATTTAGGAGATAACTTATGTGACATCTCAACTATCGAAACTGAACTATCGAAATTCTTTAAGTTTGGCTGATTAGTTTCTTTCAGTTGTTCTTCTTCATCAATTAACCATATCACAGTATCCTTCAAAACTACCACTTTCATGCAAATCCAAAAGTCTAGTGCTTTAAGAAAACGATATTGGTAGGCTAATTAAAATAATTAGTACCTGTAGTTCATGTAATTGGAGTTGGAAAAGTAGCTAGCAGAATCAATTCTCACAATAAGAATGCCAAGGATCTTTGTTGTTTCTTATATTGCAGTATAATTCTGTAAACAATAGTGTTAAGGGATAAAAGAAATTCATAGGCAATCAATTTATTTAAGCTGTGAATTTAGACTTATATCTAAAGTTTTCGTTTACCTGTAGCCATATAGCAAGATGTCATTGAACTAACCATGTTCATTTGTTCCGAAGGCTACCATTTTTTTGTTTCAATCCAACTGGATTCAATGCTGCAAATATTCTTCAATGGTTGTAGCTTCCTATAATAAAGAAGTATGTTATATAAATTAAGTTTTCTCTAAAAAGAATGTCTAGCCAAAAAAGCTAAGAAACATAACTTACTCACCAATGCTATCATACAGCCCATCAAACCTTTGCACTAGTGGAGGATTTATCTTGCGATGGATGTGCATCACCTTGACATTATAAACAAAATGCAAGGCACAACAAAAAAATTATTGACCAATAAAATAAGAATCATTAAAATTTGATTTACTGTAATTACATACATGATTTCCTGTTATTAAATTCAACTATCTAAAGCAACATTGAAGAGGCAGAAAACATCAAAAAACTAGAATTAGCAAAAGTGCAAAAACAAAAAGGAAAAGAACTTCCCCTTTTTAATTTTGTGCAAATAAAAAATGCTAAACTGGAAATCACACTAAATCCTAAAAACATCTACATGAATGGATACATAATTACCATGCTTCTTTCACTCAAAAAGGCCATGTACCATGAAAAGGGAAATGGAAGAATATGACAAAGTTACTTCAATATGATCTCTAGCACTTACTCTAGCTAGTTATTGAATAGCTTTTATAATGACAAGACATGTTCAGATTTTAAATAAGGCTTAAAAAAGACAAGCTGGAACTGTTAGCCAAAGTTTAATGTTGTACTCTAGTTAATGTAAGACGATGATGGCTCACCAAGCTTGTATTCAGAAATAAAAGATAGAGCCCTTATTGCACAAGGATAGAAACAACTTGTCCGTCAAAGGATAAGAGTGACGGCCAGGTTGCTCCAGCAATTAATTCATAGATAAATTGCTCAAAAGTACTGTTGAAATAGTTTTGGATAAACAAAGTCCAAACACATTTGTACATGTAAACAAACAGCAAGGAATGCTTTACCATGGTGATTAGCTCAAATCCTGGATGATTGATCCTTTGCTTAATACCCTTTGATTCAGTGGATAATTATATACAACAACCTGCACGTGGTATAAAACTTCATGTAATTGTACTCATATTTCATATACAAGAATGCAGTAGTTGCATACATACAACATAACCTATTTGATGTCCTTTTAGACTAATTAAAGAACAAAATATTCTCAGATGTTGCAAAGTATTTACTTGAAAAGCTTCATGCAGTGCATAATATAAGTCATCCAAGATCCAAAGAATATAATCATCAAACCCCATAAAAGGGGAATAACACGAAATAGAAAAAGTGCATAGCGTTGTACCGGGTTCACGATCCTAAGCACATAATCCATCCAATAACAAAAATACAGACAACTTCAATCATCCTTAAAGATAAAAGATCTTCCAAATACTACCTAATACAAATATACAACCTCTCAGTAGAGATCCTTCTTTTCAAAAGCCCGCACTCATTTCTTCCACAACGACGACTCTTAAAAGTGTAAAATTTGCGATTGAACCTCGAAAATAGAGGAACCCACACAACAATTGAACCAAAATATAACCCAGTACTTGTAATAATACATTGATCCAAATTCTAAAGGCATATCGAAAATAATTTCGGGTACGAACTCTACATTAGAAAGTAAACAAAGACGATTCAGAGCAAAGAAAATAAGAAGAGTATGATAAAGTACAAACCTTTATTGTTCGGATTGCGCCGAATTATTTTGTAGAGAAGATGATGACGAGAGGGAATTGAGCCCTGCTATGATGAAGAAAGGAAATTAAGCCCTGCTAATTTGTGAGTTGAAGAGAGGGAACTAATTGTGCGCTTTGAAAATAAAGGGGAAAAAGGAGGGAATTTTTCCCGGTTCCATAAATTTGAGTCTAATATCCAAATTACCCCCAATGTGCAGATTAAAACCTATAAAGATGGTGGCTGATATCGTCTTTTAACATCTTTCTTTTCTCTATTTTTCTCTTTCATTTCCTTTTTACTATTTAAATTTTAAAATGGAAAACATAACTAAATTACTAACAAAAAATACTTAAATATAAGGGATAAATATAATTAAACAGGAAAATAACAAAGTAATGAAACACAAAAAATACTATCAAATAATAAATTAAAATATAGAACAAACTCACAACAACTCATAAAAATATTTCATTTAATATTCAAAATGCTAAATACTCATGACTAGATACGTAACAAAGTTGTAAAATTACAAATATTATTTGTTTAAATTCAAAAGTCCTACTATACTAAAAATAAAAGACATTCAAGTGCATTCATCGCGTCCAACTTTATTCCTAAAAAAATAACAAAAATTGCTAGAAATACCCGACTAAAGAGTTTGGAGTCGAATCCACCGAGAAATGACGCTTACCTATAACTATTTAATATAACTAAGAAGACATGTTCGAGTAATTTTCGAGTAATAAAAATTATAAATTGTATTTAAGCTATTGATTAACAACTGTTAAAGCAATAAAAATAAATAACTAAGTAAATAAAGGTGTTTTTCAATGAACATGCTTCCTATAATTTTGCCGAACTATTCTTTATTGATCGTGAATTCTATTGATCGTGAATTCTCTCATAACGTAATTATCTCTCGATCAAAAGCAGTAATTTTTACAATTATTCTCTCAAACTAACTCTAGCTAGCAATTCAAACGACTCACATCAATCGCGCCAAAACTTCGTCATCTCTAATATCACTTTTAAGTCTTTGCAATTAATCTATTATTTATTACTCAAAGGTGACGTTGTGCAACAAGAACCTAATCTTGTAATCTTATTCAAGAAAAGACAAGCTATAATAACGGCATATTTAATTAAGAGCTTTTCAATTAACTATAATCAAAACATAGTTGAACAAATAGAGTTTGGAGAATGGCTCAATTTATATTGAGGTTAGAAATAGTCGTAAATTATATCAAATTGGTCATTTTGATCAAACTCCTTCACTTTTATGCAACTTTTTTACAAAATATAAAGTGAAATAAATAAATAAATAAATAAATTAGGAATTATTAACCACTACAGATTATATTGAATTGCGGTGATTTACAAAGCTCCACAAGTTAATACGATTTGTGGAGGTTATCACAAACCCCCCACAATAAAATTGCCACAAAAAGAACTATATTGTGGAGGTTGAAAGAAATGCCGCAAAATGACCTTATAGTGGGGGGTCTTATAACCCCACAAATTAGCTTATTTCTTGTAGTGAGCGTATCTACAACCCATGAAAATTTTCAGTCATTATAAAGCTTATGGGAAAGTGCCTAATGCACTACTATCTTAAACAAAAAATACAAGATATGTGGAAGCTTAACGAGAATCTTTCATTAATAGATCTTGGAGAAGATTACTATACTGTCAAGTTTGTAGAAGAAAACATGGTTAAGGTGCTACAAAATGGACCTTGGTTTATTAACGACTTCTTCTTATCAGTACAAAAATGGGTCCCAAACTTCATGGCTAAGAAAGCTCAACAAAGTTACAATGCAGTATGGATAAAGCTGCCCCAACTCCCCACAGAATTCTACGATGGACTTATCCTCTCAAAAATTGGGAACAGTATTAGAAAAATACTTAAAGTAGATGCGTCCACGTCAGCCACACAAAAAAGAAGATACGCAAGACTATGCGTAGAACTGCCATTAGAGCAGCCAGTACAAACTCATGTACTCGTTGGACCTCACAAGCAAGCTCTTCTATACGAAGGAGAAAATATTCATTGCAAAGCTTGCGGAAGGTTAGGGAATACGTGCCATAATTGTCCCTACTCTAGTCAACCAATCCAATAAATGGGAGAGCAAAAGCTTTTACAACTATCTCAATCCGTGCAAGAAGGATCTCAAGAGTGGTAGATGGTTTCCTTCCCTAAAAAAGGCAAGGTTAGAATATCCAAGAACTCCAATAATATTGCAAGCACATCAATGGTGCCAGGTATTAATGTACGCATTTATGATGCTTCCACTAGTAAGTACCTTAACACTCAACACTTGAAATATGTTAACAAATAACATCATCGAGATACCATTAATGATTCTAAAAAACTCCCCCTTTTAATGCATGTTAACAGACCAAAATATTACCAAACATATTTTGATAAACCACAAAACGATCAGATGAGCAGTTGTGCAATGCTTCAAGAAGAGCACATGGTTTTGAAAAAAAGAAAAGAAAACAAAAGCAACAAAACCACTAAACACATGCATGAACCAATAAGCTGTGACATTACAAGTGGCAAATACGTGGCAACAAATGCATGCTATTCTGGTAATAGTAATTCCCCGCTTAACAAAAAAAAATATTAACAATTATTTAACTACAAACAGGACACCCCGAGATTATATCAATTGCCCTATTAACAATGATAACACTATTGCCATGGGATTAACCAATAACAATCAATATGCAAAATACTTCCCCCTCAACCAAGTAACTATTGAACACATGGAAGAATAATGAAAGACAAGTGGCGAAGATGATATCCATGCAAGATTTGGATAAAAACCTTACGCCAACACTCTCAAATTCCATGAAAATAGAGCCCATCATTACCACTTTTTCTAACCCTATAGACAATAACTCTAGTATAAAGAAAGAAAACCACCAAAATGTCAAGAGTGCCACTAATATTAAGGAGGAGATACAGGCTCATCCAACTCTACCGCTTCCCTCGTCAGCAAAATATGAACAACCTTCCACCTCTTCCTCCTCACTTCCCATCAAACCCAGTGATCTATGCACAACCACCAAATCCACCAAACTACCAACCTCAATCGTGGGTGGAGCTAGGTCTGATGGGCCATGTAATCTCATTCAATCTAGAGATCAATGGCCAAGAATCCATTATGATAATCCAAAACACACACTATCTTGCACAGCTAATCTCGGAATGAATGAATCTTGCAATGAACAACTATATAAATCAAATATGGATGAACAACATCCTCCAACCTCTTGCGCCTTCAATGAACCAAAATCTAGTTCACACCAAGCAACAAATGTGGAATATACCTTCCACCTTCAACAAACAGATTCCACATAATGCTCCATTAAACCTCTCACTCTTTGCACCAGAAGAACTAACATTGATAAACCCAATATTCACCCAATGGACTACACAACACAGGGAGAACCAACCGATGGCACCACAGCCAGCTCCAATGGAAGAACATGCTCCACCACCAAACATGCAAAACCAAGAAGGAATCCAGGAGGAAGAGGAGGACATCATGCCACACCCGGGGGCCGGGGAGCCATAAGTGGCCTTTTCAAGTGTAAGCGAGGTAAAAGTACTAATATTCAAGGAGAGCCTAGACAAGAAATCGATCTTCAGTTGTCGAGTGACACTCTTCAAGTGCTCTCTGGATATAAGACCTCCACAGGACCCTATAATGGGGAAGCATGTGGTAATATTGGTGCCATATCTAAATAGAAACATGGGAATGCCACTGAACAACAACCAAAACAACCATCCAATGATGAACCAACCAAATAATTTTATAATCTAGAATGTAAGGGGTACTAATAGTGATAACTTTAGGAGAAATTTTAGATAGCTCATGGGTACCCATAGGCCATGTCTAGTTGCTCTTTCGGAGACTAAAATGGCAAACCACACACCTATTATGGAGGCTTTTGATCTCACTGAGATAACTGAAGTCCCCGTTATTGGCCAAGCTGGTGGATTGGTGATATTGTGGAACCATGATATGGTAACCGTCAATAATTTTACTAGAAGGGGGCAGGAAATTCATGCCATGATCGAGGTAAAGCCCACAAATCTTACTTGGATTTTTAGTGCTATATATGCTAGTAATGACATACTTGAAATAAATATTTTATGGGACAACTTGAAAAATATTACTAACTATTATAAAGGTCCATTGATGGTAGGGAGTGATTTTAACGAAATTATTGACTCTGGAGATAAATTTGGTGGTAGACAAATTAATCAAAGACGGACTAATTCATTAATTAACTACTTGAACTATCGTAAACCTAGTAGATTTAGGCTTCAAGGGATGCAAATATACATGGTCTAATCACCATAGGAAGATAAATGGGATAATCATAGAAAGATTAGATAGGGTATACTCAAATGTGGAATGGCTAGAAGCTTTTCCGAATGTAACCATAACTCACCTTCCAAAAATGCATTCGGATCATAACCCTATTCTAATTAACCTTAACAAAAAAATATACATCAATCAAGACAGACCCTTTAGAATAGAAAGATTTTGGTGCTCTCATTCTAATTTTGCTAATTCAATCACAAATAGTTAGGGATCTATTAAGTGGCACAAACTTCCTCAAAACTGAAGTTTTAGAATGGAAGAAGAAGACATTTGGCAATACTTTTAATAATAAGAGGAAAACTTTAGCTAGACTCAATGGAATTTAAAATTTTCCAAATTATGCTACGAGTAACTTCCTTAGTATTCTTGAACAGACGCTTATTGATGATTATACCAACATTCTAAAACTGGAAGAAGATTATTGGAAATTAAGATCTAGAGTAACTTGGCTTAACGATGGTGACGCAAACACAAAACTTTTTCACATTAAGGCGACCAACAAAAGAAGGAAGAACAATATAGTTTTCTTCAAAGATGACAATGAGAATTGGATAGACGATCAAATTTCTTTAATGAACCACACAACAAATTACTTCACAATTATTTTTACTACCTCTCATGTTAGAACTGACTAGTCGATTATTAAAAGGGACAATGAGAGTTTTCATACAATAGATCTCTCAAGCCTTGATAATCCTCTAAGAAATTAT